ATATGGCCAGAGTCCTTTGTGAAGAGTAACATAATGTTATTTGGTGACCCCACTTTATTATACATAACCACTAGCTATTACCAGTGATGTGGGGAAGGTGAGATGCAGTCCTATGGCATTCAGCAGGGATAGGATCGATGTGTTCCCAAGTCTAAGCATGACTTCAAAATAGCCCACAGTTAGCACGACTTTGCATTCTTGCACTCATTTTGAATATACCACTTAAATATTATGCTACTAGAGGCCTGGTGACAAAATATGTACATCAGTATGGTCCCTAGGCCTGGCCAGTGACCAGGGATGATCAGAGCCCACCAGGGCCTTCCAGTCCAGCTGCCAGCCAGGGCTTCTCTTCCCTGGCTGCTGATTGCTGGTCAGGGCCTTCCTTCCTTCCTTCTTTCCTTTCTTCCTTCCTTCCATACCGCCCCCTGGTCAGTGGAAGTCATAGCAAGTGATAGAACTCCCAGTCTCCTGGTCAAACTCCCCCGAGGACACTTTGCATATTAGCCTTTTATACAGATAGTATTTAAATAACACTATATTAAACCCATGCAAGATGTGAGGAAAATTGAACTAGAAGGTTTCCAGCTCTGCTTCAAAAAGCTGTGCCATTTAACCCTCCTTGTATTGATGCCATTTAACCCTCCTCATCTGTAAAAAAACGACTATGATTGCCCTATCTGGTTTGGCTCAGTGGATAGAGCATGGGCCTGAAGACTGAAGAGTTCTGGGTTTGATTGCAGCCAAGAACACATGCCTGGGTGTGGGCTCAATCTCCAGTAGGGGGCTTGCAGGAGGAAGTAGATCAATGATTTGCTCTCATCATTGATGTTTCTAACTTTCTCCCTCTCCCTTCCTCTCTGAAATCAGTAAAAATATATATTTTTAAAGAATGTCTATGATTGCCTGGCTGGCATGGCTCAGTGGTGGAGCGTCAACCTATGAGCCAGGAGGTGATGGTTTGTTTCTTGGTCAGGGTATATGCCTGGGTTATGGGTTCCATCCCCAGTGTGGGGCATGTAGAAGGCAGCTGATCAATGATTCTCTCTTATCATTGATGTTTCTCTCTCTCTCCCTCTCCCTTCCTCTCTGAAGTCAATAAAAATATTTTTTAAACTCTCTATGATTATATGACTAAGTACCTTTAAATATATCACATACATTAGGTATTTAATTGAATAACTTATTTTAATTTCTATACAATCTCTTTACAAGATTCTTTACCTTACAAAACAATCAGTAATTATTAGGGTTATAATTCCAGCACTACTAATTAGTACAAATGTAATCCCATTACTAACCAAAGTAAATAAGAAAGCATCTATTAACTGTGAATCTGAGTAAAACAAGCTCCTTACTCCATAGATGACCAGGTGTAAAGTCACATTATATCAGATCTATGTTTAAAGAAATGTGGGACTTAAAGGGATGCAGGGTTATCCCTTGTAGACTAGTCCAAATCTTTTATTTTATTTTATTTTATTTTATTTTATTTTGTTTTATTTTATTTTATTTTATTGATTTTTTTACAGAGGGGAAGGGAGAGAGATAGTTAGAAACATCGATGAGAGAGAGTCATCGATCAACTGCCTCTTGCACACCCCCTACTGGGGATATGCCCACAACCAAGGTACAACATGTCCTTGACTGGAATTGAACCCGGGACTTTCAGTCCGCAGGCCAGCGCTCTATCCACTGAGCCAAACCGGTTTTGGCTAGTCCAAATCTTTTAGTGGAAAATTTTGCTTAAAAAAAGAGAACATTTTGCTTCACTATCTTTGACTAAAACTTAACACTATTTCCAGAGACCTTAAATACCCTACAAGTCGTCTTTGACTGTTTACCATCTCTGTGAATGGACTGTTTTACTTTGTGCGCCTAGAGCAATAAAAATCCAAGCAAACAGGATACAGCCTCCGTGGTGCCAAAGAAAAGAAAGGCTGCTTTTCAAACAGCAGCTTCCACTGGGCCAGAGGTAGGAGTGGAAGACCAGTGATGGGGCGGAAGGGAATGTTTTCCTTTACAGAAGAAAAGGACCCGCAAGGCGGGAGGGAAAAACAGCACAGCACTGGACCAAAAGGGAAAAAGCAACACACTCAGCACCAAGCCCAAATCCCGGAGTTCAATGGCAGAGGAACATTTCTTCTTTAACTTAATGCAGAAAAAAAATTAAATGAGCCGAGACCGGTTTGGCTCAGTGGATAGAGCGTCGGCTTGGGGATTGAAAGTTCCCGGGTTCGATTCCGGTCAAGGGCATGTGCCTTGGTTGCGGGCACATCCCCAGTGGGGGGTGTGCAAGAGGCAGCTGATCGATGACTCTCTCTAATTGATGTTTCTAACTCTCTATCTCTCTCCCTTCCCTTCTGTAAAAAATCAATAAAATATATTTTTTTAAAAATTAAATGAGTAAAATTTATACCTGGAATTCACAAACATAAGATTGACCAGATTCAGCCTAAATCTAGAAATGAAGTCCAGCATCTTGTATCCAGTGGAAACCATATGTTCCTAAACTCCCAGGATGGATGCCTGTAAGTTGTCTGCCTGTCACCACAAAAACCAAACTCAGATGCCAGTGAAAAGGCAGAGAGCTTTATTTAAGTGCCGGTTACCTGAGGAGACGGGGGACTCTTGTCCAAAGCCCATCTCAACATCGCAGCAGAGGCAGAAGCCTCTATAAGGAGGGAGAGGGAAAGCAGGACAACGAAATCGGGTTTTCTACCTGCCGATCAGCACAGTCCCCTCTGATAAGGACCTTGAATCTAGTCAAGTGGTGGCCTGGTGTTTGTCATCCTGGTTCTACCTTATCCTGGTTTCACAGTTGAAGGTCAGCAATTCTCTCAGAGCCGTGGTCTGCAAACTGCGGCTCGAGAGCCACATGCGGCTCTTTGGCCCCTTGAGTGTGGCTCTTCCACAAAACACCACGGCCTGGGCGAGTCTATTTTGAAGAAGTGGCGTTAGAAGTTTAAGTTTAAAAAATTTGGCTCCCAAAAGAAATTTCAATCGTTGTACTATTGATATTTGGCTCTGTTGACTGAGTTTGTCGACCACTGACCTAGAGCTACGATGACTAAACATCAGAGTCTTTATCTTCTGAAGTTAGCTCCTCGGATTCTTATACAAATATGCTGTTTATCTACACGCTGCATACTAGTCAGAGTCAGCATCTGCAGAAACAATGTGGGAGAATGGTGGGTGGGTCACAATCCAGTCACATGTGCAGCCCATGCAGTGGTGTGACCCCGGCTCGGAGGGCCATGCTTGCCATGAGGCTTTGCTGTCTCTGTTTTGATCGTCTTACTGTTGTTGTTGTTAATCCTCACCTGAGGATATTTTTCCAGTGACTTTTTTTTCTTTTTTCAGAGAGTAGAAGGCAAGGAGGGAGGGGGAGAGAGAAGAGAACATTGATGTGAGAGATCTACCTATTGCCTACCACCCTCCCTCACAGGGGCTGGGAACAAACCTGCAACCCGGGTACATACCCTTTACTGAAACTTGAACCTGAGACCCTTTGGTCTGCAGGCTGATGCTCTAACCACTGAGCAATGCCAGGCAGGATGATAGTCTTAACAATTATTAAGAAGGGCTCCCCAGTCTCTATTTTTTACGGCCCTACAAATTTCATAACTGGTCCTGATGTAAGCTCTGAACTTTACAGGTGCTTCATCTCACCCTGAGCAACTCTGTATCAGGATATCCTCCCCTCAGGTTAACGATCATACTTCCCTCATGTCTCACTCTACACTGCTCTGGGCACTCATTGACGTTAATAATGATACAGCCTCTTCATCTGCGAATTCCTCACACACAGCAGGGCAGGTATCTTAAGCAATCACTTCTTTGTTGTATGAATAAATGAATAAGTCAACAAATGGCACATACAATGTCACATTTCTAAAATGAAAACATACTGTCTTGCACACCTTAGACATCCAAGAATAGCAGATGTCACTTAAGCACAGAATGAAATTTGAGTGTTAAAGACTCTTCAGTTCATTAAATCAAATGACCAAATGCGGGGCATGGCCAGACAGTGGCATCAGAAACGTGACAGCAGCACGGCTGGGCATCAGTGAGACACAGCCCTGGCGGGTGGATGTTCCTACACGCGCTGCACTTGGAAAGTGCCCTCAGGAGGCCCAGCACGCAGTCCGCAGCATCTCTGGAGTGTGGCACAGGCTGGTCCCTGGAAAAGCAGGCCTCCGGGGGCCTGGGTTCAAGTCCCGGTTCTACAGCATCATAGGTGGGGCCTTGAACAAGTCACGTGCTAGAGTGTGCCTCCGGTCTCCCAAGACACAGGCATGTTCACAGAACCAGCTCCTGAGGTCGTTGTGAGGATGTCAGGAGACAAGCCCATCAGGCCTTGGCAGTGGGCACCGGGCAGACTCTCCGACGTGCCCTGCGTGTCTCAACCAGCATCTGCACTCCAGCGAGGGCCCGCGGTGAGCAGCACTTCCAACGGTGCCCGGGGCATGGCACCCGTCCTGCCTTCATCATCTTTATCCTCCTGAGGTGGCATGATCGGAGAGCACCTGCCTGATGACTCCCCCGTTCCTGGTTAAATGCCAGGAGCAATGCCGACCTAGGTCCCTCCCTGAGCCCTGGCGATGGACATGGCCCAGCAGTCCTGCGGGGACCGGCATAGGAGCAGGGCTGGGGCAGTGGCTGGGAAGTTAGGACTCACAGGCCGCAGGGGGGTGGAGATGGGGAGGACACGTCTTCTGTAGGGAAACGTGAGCAAAGACCCGAGGCGAGAAGTGACCGGGCCGACCGCCAGGTGCGGTGAATAGATTTTAGTTCCAAACCAAGAGTGCACGCAGCAGGACTTCACACAGGTTCGCGGTCCCTGACGGAAATGCTTGTCTCAGAGGTCAAACACCGACAGCCACACTAAGAATCCGGCAGAACACGCCCATAAAATGATGAACTAAGTTGTCTTTCTATGTTCCAGTAGACACATTTGGAAACTGATTTATTCTTTTTCTTTTCATTCTCCACAGAGTTGCCACCCCATTTGGAGGTTTTGAAAAAGCATCAAAAATGGTGAAGTTCAAGGTCCCAGATTTTGAGCTACTACTTCTAACAGATTCCAGGTTCATGGCCTTTGCCAACCCTCTTTCTGGCAGACGGTCCTTCAACAGGACTCCTAAGGGGTGGATATCGGAGAACATCCCCATAGTGATCACCACCGAGGCTCCCGAGGGCCCCGCCGTCCCCGAGTCCGAAGACCTCTGAGCAGACAGCCGCGGCCTCGGAGCCTCCGCACACCCATGTCGCTTCTGCTATTCCACTCGCTGGCAAAGCCACTCACACTGCAGCAGCAGTAACTCAGCCGTAACTTAGCATTGTTCCTTCCATGGCGTTTAACCTCAGCCTCAGAGCAAATACTAATAAACAACTCACAATCTCGTTTTAAACTTCTGTCTCACTCGTGTTCACTCCTCCCTTTGTTTTCGTGTGGCCCAAACAACCCCCCTTCGACAGGGGCAGCCCAGGAGATCGGACAAAAGTTCCAGCCGTTCTCCTTTGCTGTGTGAATAAATGAATGAGTCAACACCAGCTGGTCCCAAATGAAGCTTTTCAAGTGCACCTAGAATCAACACGCAGTCAACATATTCAGACGCATTCCGTGTGGGATGTAAGGGTGAGGTGAGGGGTGTGGAGGAGGCAGAGCAAACATCGCGATGGGAGAGGCTGGGCCAGGCCTTCCTGGTGACCACGGACAGTAGCCTGCTGGATGGAGTCTCTGCAGGAGACAGTCTGACCGTTCCTCTCCGGCCTTGTCTCCTTCCGCGTGCTCTGAATCACAGGGTAGTTATTCCAGACATTCTCCAGAGTCAACCGGGTTGTTACAGCGGCTTAACATTCCACCAAGGAGACAGAGACAGTGACTCAGGGAACGTCCTGCTACCTAGTTTAAAATGCCAAGGTTACCTGCAATTCAAGTTCCTCACACCCCAACGCTGTGTGCCGATGAGGTTCAAGTTCATGTGCACATTTGTAGGAATGTAAAAACACACAGTGCACACTACTATACACCTAAGCAGATATGTATGAGAGAGAGAGAGAGAGAGAGAGAGAGAGAGAGAGAGAGAGAGAGAGAGAAATTTGAATTGGTATCTGTCTTTGATGAATCCTGGAATTCTGTTTAAATCCTTAAGCACTAGGGAGTATATCTATAAAACAAATAAAAACAAGCAACAGCAGTCTCAGCCAGCATGGCTCAGAGCATCGATCTATGAACCAGGGGTCAGGATTCACTTCGCGGTCAGAGCACAGGCCTGGGTTGGGGGCTGGATCCCTAGTGTGGGGCGTGTAGGAGGCAGCTGTTTCATGATTCTCTCTCATCCTTGATATTTCTCTCTCTCTCTCCCTTCTTCTCTGAAATTAAACAAAACAAAACAAAACAAAAACACAGCAAAACACTAAGACCTCTGAAAATAATGTTGTGAATACACTGAAATAGGAGACTCAAACTAACATACAGGTACAGACATGTCTTAAACTAGGACTGAGGAAACACAGTACTGGTAAGACATAGACACCAGTTCTTCCCGTTTGAATTCAGCAAAGAGTTCTGTGTCAGACGCCGAGATGGGGACTGACCCACCACAGGCAGCCACCGGAGATGAAGCTCAGGAGGTAGAGAGGGAGTGTGCACACAGAGCATGAGAATCTGTTCCCAATCTTTTTATTTTATTTCATTTCATTTCATTTCATTTCATTTCATTTCATTTCATTTCATTTCATTTCATTTTATTATTTTTTACAGAGAGGAAGAGAGAGGGATAGAGAGCCAGAAACATCAATGAGAGAGAAAAATCAATCAGCTGCCTCCTTGCACACCTCCTATTGGGGATGCACCCGAGACAAAGGTATGTGCCCTTGACCAGAATCAAACCCAGGACCCTTCAGTCCGCAGGCTGATGCTCTATCCATTGAGCCACACTGGTTTCAGCGAGATTCTGGTTGTTTTAAACCAGAAGGCTTGGCAAGTCTTGCCTGGTAAGGGAATTTAAAAAAACTTAATCATGCAATTTCTAGAAATGACATCAATATGTTATATTCATCCATATTGTCACTGGAATAATTTAAGTAATTGGTAATTGGTGTAATTTAAAATGTAACTTTATATCATTTTTATTCATGCTTTGGTGTTTATGCGTTTTAAAATGATTTGGCACCTGTGTATGAGGCTCACATCGCACCATTTTTATGGTTCATTTTAAAGATAAAAATTACTCCTGTTCTATTAGGCATTTGCTGAAGTGATTTTGTTTCCGTTGGCAGCGTGAAATGAGTTACTATTGTTCATTGAGTTGGAATTTTATTGCCTGGTTTTCCCTACCACCACGTGGATCACCAGCCAACCCACCACCAACAGGGCCGGCAATGAAATGGCAGCTGCAGAGCCTGACCGGCGCCAGGGAGCAGCCTTTAAAAGGGAGAAGCGAAGCGTGTGCTTAAGATCGGGCGGAAAGTGAGGGACCACCCGCAGGGCAGCACGGCATTCCCCTTCCTGCGAGTGGCTGTCCATCGCTCAGCTGTCTGGCTCCTTTAGGAAGGCCAACATTTCACTCTACCCTGTTTCCCCCAAAATAAGACAGTGTCTTATATTAATTTTCTCCCAATGTTGCGCTAGGTCTTATTTTTCAGGGGATGTCTTATTTTCGGGGAAACACCGTAGTTGCTGCACAATTAAGATTTCTAAGGCATTTTGATTGGGTTTCCAGGGACCTGAGAGGCGACATCTTTCCGAGCCTGAGGACTACCACAGTCAGTGTAGAACAGCAGAAGACAGGGGGGAAGGGACCATGAGGCGGGATCTGTGCCCCCCACATAGTTCGTGTGAAACGTGGATAAAGGGGTCAGCGGGGAGAGACCGAGCGCAGGGTGAGAATACAGAGCACCACAGTCACTGCTTCACACAGGCTCCTGGACACACACTTCAGCACTTTCCTCTCACAGTGAGCCTGTGAGGAAGGCATTCAAAATAAGCTCCGTTTTACATAAGAAAACTGAGCCTCAGTGAACTAAAGGGATGGAGTCGCTTGATTCTGGCTCAAAATGGGAAGAGCTTGGCAGGTCTGACTGAAAAATAGGTAAGAACTCGTGTTCATTGCTTCTCTTTCAGAATCAGACTCAGCGCCCAATTATTTTATTACATCTAGACAAAACAAACAAAACAAAACACACAGAAAAACCCTCCATGTCTTCACTGGGCAAATACGGTGCTAAACTGGGGCCTTCTCGGGTCACCCAAGGTCACCCGGGCGCTCTGACTCATGCCGCTCAGACGGTGCTGATGACCTAAGAGCACAGGCCTGGAGCGGCCTGGGACACAGAGGGCCGGCAGGAGCTGCTCCCGGCCGCACAGCCTCCAGCCAGGGCTGGTGGAGCCGGTGCTGGGGCAAAGGGGGGGGTGGCCAGACAGGCACCGCAGTGACACCCCGAGGCAATCACCCAGCGTGAGCGCGCACCCCAAACACCCCTTCAAGCAAAGGTGTTGTCTCCTTTCAAAGCTTTAGAGGACACTCACCCCACCCCCATTGTCCTGTCACAGGCGCTGCTGGCCCCGAAGTGACATCTCCTCTCTGACTTAGCCAAGGCTGCCTGGCGACTTCTCCCACCAACGCGCCCACAGCAGAGCCAGCGGGGAAAAAACAGCCTTCTTGGCGTGCAACCCCCCTCCCTTCATCAGACTGGAGTATTCCTCCAGACTCTGATGACTCACTTTCCATTCCCTAATATTCCAAAGAACTTGATAATAAAACATAACTAATTATTGGTTGTTACAAAATCAAGTGCAAATACGGGCGATCGTCTTTTAGTAGAGATGACCATTCGCTGCATCCACTTAAAATTCTGCGTTCTCTGACGGGACGCATTTATAATCGCTGCGGCAGCCTGGACGGGGAGGGAGCCAGTTCCTCTCACAAAGGCCGAGTGGAGCCCAGCGCCCGCGGCCAGCGTGGAAGGAACACGGTGAACTTTCCAGCCCGGCACGCTGATTAATTCTGGAATTTCCTCGCTGCGCTGCTGATGCAAGATAAAGCCTGCATGACATCACCTGGTCTGGCGGCGGCCGCTTCTCACAGAGAGAGGAGGACAATGCTGCTCCGAGCACCCCTCTCCTCCTCCTCCACGGGCTGCCCTGAGCAGGAGGCGCAGCGCCTTCCTGGGGGAGGCGGGCGAGGGCCAGGCTTTTGCCAGAAGAGCAGGGGCCTAATCCACACTCACCAACCACAGGCTTCACCAATGCACTGAGGGTTTGAGGGGAAAGGATGTCTTGTCTCGGGTTTCAGTGGCTGAGGCTGCAGTGTGATTAGGGAAGTGAAGGGGTGTCTCCTCATTCAATTCCTTCAAAGGGAGAGCTAGCTCTCCGCCTGCATAGGAGCTCTCCTGGCTTCTCAGCACAGCGGGGTCAGGGGTGAGGTTCGGTGCCTGTGGGCAAAGGGAGGGGGGAGCCAGCTGCTTCTAAGGGGTGATAGTTTAGGTCCAAAAAGAACGTGCTTGCTATTCAGTCCTGTCTGACAGCTGGAAGCACATTTCAATGACAGCTCACGCAGTGGCCGGGATAGAAACGGTTCAGGAAACAGGACCGGAAAAGTTAGGAGAAAAAAAAGAGCAATTCAATGTCATGCCCTATTTTAAAACTGCTGAGGGGAGGATTGGTTTGGAAGCTGCAGCGCCAGCAAAATACGTAAATGCACAAGGCCCGGGTACAGGAAGCCAAAAGCAGGCTGAGAGACACTGCCCGCCGTGCACAGCGCTCTGCTGCTCTCCGGCCCCTGGCCTTGCCCTTCAGAAGCTGTTCTGTTCACGTACGTGCAATCTGCTTGATGGGAGCCGTCTCCCAAATAGATATTCTCGTCACACTTTATCAAAACTCACCTGCAGCAAGTGCCAGCTACTACTGATCTGCCACAAATCACGGATATCTTCTTAAGCAATGTACTTCCCCCTAAAAGTCAGAGTTTTCTTCAGCTCTGCTAAGTGGCTCACACGCCATCTCGGCCTGAATTCTTCCCTGGCCGGCGCTATTGAAGAGACCACACTGCTGACCCCTCATGTGTGTGTTTTTCTCTACAGCACTCCTGACTCCCTAACCTCTGAGAAGCAGATGCCAAGATGGGTCAAACCTGCAAAGATTATATTAGGAAAGCTGCCCACAGGAGAGAAAATGGGGAGAGAGTCCAGAGACCTCCTGTGGGTGTGTTCTACACATAGACGTA